GTAGGGAAATGTAGGTGTGTTATGGTGGGTGTTGAAATTTACCTTCTAGGATGAGGAGATTTGTGAAGAATTCTCGTGATTAACAAAAATAACTTTTTTTAGTCTTTAATAATTGGCTTGTGACTTGCTAAATGGTGGATGTCACCGCAATGTACTAAGTTGGGAAGCATAAAGAAAGAAGGATAATGCATTATGTCCATTAAAATTATTGTGTTCAAAATCGAATTAATCTAAACAAAAAAAATACAAACCGATCAAAAAATTAAGAATTGATAAAAGATTATAAACTTTAAGTTTTGTTCGATTTTTTATTTTCCTAAACTATTGATTTTTAAATTGAAATATGAAACTGATTCAAATCAAACTGAATCACATTTATATGTACATTTTTTCCTAAATACAGAGTGTAAATATGTAAAATTGACACAATATAAAAATTTATTTTATAATAATGTAAGTTATTAAATTGTAAGCTACTAAAATATATTTATTTTCCCAAAAATATGTATTATAATATATGTGATTTAAAAGGTATTTTATAAAATCATAAGATATTAAACTAAATTTTAGACCAAAAAAGTATGAATTTCTTGTAACATTTAAAAATAATTTTATTTTAAGTGACAATTTATATATATACGAAAAAATATTCAATATGATAACTAAAATTATATTAAATAAATGTTTTTATTAAAATAATAAGATAAGTATGAGAGTTAAATATATTAAGTAATTAAAATTTTTTTCAGTATTTTTATACTTTTAGCTTTATTTTTAGCGAGTGATTCTTAAATAAATAATATAATATTACATATTTTTAATTAAATTTTAAATTAAAAATTAAAAATCATAAAAGTCAAACCAAATCAAAACACGAAAAATTAGCTTAATTTGGTTCAAATTTTATATTACATTCAAATCAAACTGTTCTAAATTTTCTTATTTGATTTGAATAATTTTCAAGGCAAAAATTGAATCAAACTTAATCGCGAGTATTCCTAGTCATTAAAGCATCAATTAACCAAAATCCAAGCCAAAAAATAAAAATTAGATAAAGACTAGGATGCATCAGCTTATTAAGTGAATTATGATACACTGCTTTTATTAGTCATTGGATTAATTTGATCCTATTATCGAATCATACATCTTCTCATATAGGATTTAATCCCTCCACTTGATGGGAGAAAATTCAAAACAATAACAACAACTCAACAAAAAAAGAAATAAAACAAAAATAAACAATTCAAGTGCATAAGAGACACAAATAGTTTTAATGTAGAAAATCTCTCAATGTAAAAGTAAAAATTATGAGTCATTGAAACCAAATAATAACTTTACTGTGATCAATAAATGATACAACAGTCTTCAATGAATGCACTAAATAATGCTTAAAATCCGTCAAAACAAATTAAACCCAATTACTTACAAATGAGATGAAAAGTGATAAAAATAGAGTTGTTATTGTGAAATATTTTCCCCCCACTATATACCACTTTTTTATGATCCAACTATTGATAATAAAAAAATATATCCTAAAAACCTGTTGTCCAAAAATCTATATGATCAAACGATGAACGAATCTTAAGTTATAAATCGAAAGATGTTGTCTGATGAATGTGCGAACTCAACAACAAAACTTTCTTCCTTTCTTTCTGTATTTTGATGTTGTTTTCTGTCAAGATGAGTCTCTTTATGTTGGGGACAAAAAAAACTTTCTTTGTATGTGCAATAATGATGAGAATCACATTAAAAACAATATTCTAAATAGATAGAAAATTATACAAAATTTGATTTAATATGATTCGACCCTTCATGCTTACGTCCATAATGACATTTATTATATATCTCAAAATGTAGTATATGTATGCTCCTGCAAATTCTCACTTCGAGATTTGTGGGTAGAACTTGAAAACTCATTCTCACAAGTTTTATGGATGAAATTTGAAAACTCCTTCCTAACAATTTTTATAGGTGAAACTTAGAAATCATTCCTCAAAGTTTTATGGGTAAAACTTAGAAACCCATACTCACAAGTTTCCTGACAAAATTTAGAGACCCTCATTCACAAGTTTTTTGACAAAACTTAAAAAACCTTACTCATATGATCTCTTTTATAGGTCGAATAATTATTCTCGTCTTAAGAGTCTATTTATTGACCTAACATCTCAATCTTAAAAAAAATATTTAAAATAAATATAATATATTTTAACTTTAAATAATATCCTAAAAAAATTAATATCTAAGTAGTATCTTAAGGGTTTTAATTTAAAATTTTGAATTGTTTTTTCAACACTTTATTTATTGTAACCTAACTCATTTTCACTTGGTTAAGTGAAATATAATAGACTTAAACATTTGTATCTATTCTTCACATAGGAAGGAAGTCTAAAACCCAACACCACCACCCCTCCATTCTTTGTTGACATCTTCTAACCTTACTCCATAATGGGTCGGATGCAGAGTTACATGGCTTTCACGAGCAACCAAATAAAATGATCAATGATCCTCATCCTTCTCCTTCAATGTTCAATAATGATTCTCATAAGATACATAGGACTTCAACATGTGTTGATTTAGAAACCAAACTCAATAAGTCATAAAGTAACGACACATCCAAATTATTGTTAGAGAAATAATCGTAAAACAACAACTTGATTTTCTGGTTGACCCCAACCTGAACAATCTACGATGTTGCGATGATGGAATTGCATTAGCGTGACAATCTCTAATAAGAACGTGATTAAGAAAATTTTTCTGACAAGCGAAACTTCTTAACTAGTATGTGGAAGGCATATTGACCTTGTGAATGACATTAGATAGGTTGTGGTTGTTGACATTGCCAACAAAGAGACACTTTACTATTTCATGAATAGATAAATATTAAGTTTCTAATACTATAGTGAAAACTATGTTCCCCGTGAATAGACGGTGAAAAGGGGTGAAAGAGATATGACAATAGAGAAATAAGATCATGTGTATAAATATGTATAATATGCTAATAAAATTTAATACATCTAATGACAAATAAAAATTGTACACCATACATTACTTGATAGGCTAGTCAACCCTAAATTTCATCTAAAATTTAAGAATTTTCATTTTAACTGGGATATACCCCCAAAATATATTTGAATTGGGTATTTGATTTTTTTATTCGGAGGATGGCCAAGAGACCAGGGCGATTGGGTCTGAAAAGGAAGAAATAAATGAAGTGGCAAAAGCTGGCAATTCTTAGTTGTCTTTGAGAATATTATTAAATCAAATTTAAGCATTCATAAAAAGTATTACTTTAGTAGAACAGATGGCCTTTTATCTTAGATTGAAGAATGAAAAGAACATGATGATCATGATACATGGTGTGTGAGAAAGACCGGATCCCAAGAGTTGCAAGAACTAAGAAACCTATAAAATAAAAATGAATGAAATCAGCACCTACATCATGGGATTCCAGCACGAATTTCTTAACAAATCAGAACAATCCAGCAAAAGAGAAATCACCTATCTAATTAATTTCAGGTATCATATTTCTCACAAAAAGAGATAAAGATGGAACTTCTATCCTTCTCCTATAAAATAGTAAAATGCTTAGCCATAACTATAACAACTCAATAATAAAAAATAAAATAAAATTAGCAAGGTCATTATTTAAGTTGACCAATAATATATAAAAATCAGTTTAGTAAGAGTGGTTATAATTAATTTCTATTAGAGCAAAATTTGTAAAAATATAGTATGAGTTGCTTATGAGTGACGTGATACAGTGGAATATATTTAAAGTGGTTGGGAGTTGCTTAACAACTTCTATTGTAGATGTTCTAACAGTAACTGGTGTACTATTAACTACAATTTTTTTTCACTAAAAACACTGGCATATCTCAAAGATTTTCCATCTTTTTCGATCACTAATTATTTGGAAATGTAAAAAAGTAGAAAAATAATAATAATAAATTTGATTTAATTGTGAACAGTAATTTCAATTGCGGGAAAGCGTTTTTAAAAAGGCGCAATAATTAAATTAAATTCCAAGTATAAAGCAGGAGGCAGTGAGTGAGGGTAAAAGGAAAGGGTCAAGAAGAAAGAGACATTTGATGAACAGAAGAAGAAGAAGGAGAAGAAGAAGAAGAAGCGAAAAGGGTTTGGGGTGAGTGAGAGTGCATAGTTCCAAATCCAATCCGTGGTCGAATGGGGATTCTGTACGCGCTGGTAGGTCGTGGATCGGTGGTGCTGGCGGAGTTCAGCGCCACCACCACCAACGCAAGCGCAATCGCCAGACAGATTCTCGACAAGATCCCTGGCAACAACGACACGCACGTTTCTTACTCTCAGGATCGCTACATCTTCCACGTGAAGCGCACCGATGGACTCACCGTTCTCTGCATGGCCGACGACACCGCCGGCAGTCAGTATTCCGATCGCTTCCGCTAAACCTAAATTCCCGATTCGATTCGTTCTCACTGTTTTCGATTCATTTTGCCGCAGGGAGGCTTCCTTTCGCCTTTCTCGAGGACATTCACCAGAAGTTCGTGAGGACTTACGCGCGCGCCGTTCACACCGCGCAGCCTTACGGCATGAACGAGGAGTTCTCTAGGGTTTTGAGTCAGCAGATGGAGTACTATTCCAGTGATCCTAACGCCGATAGGATCAATCGGCTCAAAGGTGAAATGTCTCAGGTGCGGTACCGGTTCTTCTCTTCGATTTGTGTGGCGATTGAAAATTGAGAACTAATTGTGTCGCTGAGTGTGTAGCTAACAATGATAACTGATAACTGCATTTAGTTCCACTTCAATTCATACTTTTTTCAGTGATTCAAATACTGCTTAAGTTCAGGGAACAAGATAGTGGTTCCATAGAAAAGTAATCTAGATTTTGTTTTTATAATTAATGGGACAAATAGAGATAATCGTGAGCAGAAATTCCATTTGATCTATATTTTAAGTGATTAAGTGAGTGTTGTACTGCACTTTGACTTTTTCAATTTATACTCAGGTGTAGTTTGGATAAACTTCTATATAAGTACTTATAGAGAAGAATAGAGAAATTAAATAAATCAAACTTCTATAAGTTAAATTCTATTATGCAATTTATTTTTTAGAGAAAGAAATTATAATATGTGGTGTTAAAATAATGTTTAATCACCAAAATTCATGTCCCGTGAGCGTAGATTAATGATTGGCTGTCAATTTTGTGATACTGTGTAGACCATGCCTAATGACAAAAAAAAATATTAATTATTTTAACTCGTAAGAGAAGCTTGATTTATTTTACCTCTTTATATTTTTCTTCCATAAATGTTTGTTGATAATTTATCCAAATTGAACCTTATGTTTGATTTGCTTGGTTGTTCTGATCTCATGTGTGTGTTCACTTTTCTTTTGGTTTCTTTTAACAGGTACGAAATGTCATGATAGAAAATATTGACAAAGTTTTGGACCGAGGTGATAGGTTGGAATTGCTGGTGGATAAAACTGCTAATATGCAAGGAAACACACTTCGCTTCCGGAAGCAAGCTCGTCGTTTCAGAAGCACTGTCTGGTGGAGAAATGTCAAGCTTACGTATGTTCTCGATCTAAACCATAGTCTTATTAGTTGGACTTTTAAGGAGAAAAAAAACTGCAGTCTCTTGAATGAATCTGAAACTTTTTATCCATCTTTTTATATCATTTCCTGCATGATCAATTGGATTTTCATAAATAGAATATGTGCCAACATCCTTAGAATCATCTAGATTCTAGAGTAAATATATAATTATTTGATAGAATTTCAGAGGATTCTGATGGAAATCTTCTGGGTTTAAATGTAGGTGGTTGGTTGTGTGTGGATTAGGGTAGAGGTTCTAGGTTGAAACTTGGAAGTGTTGGCAAAAACTGCTCAGTGTGCCAAAACTATTTTCGTGATTGAAATAATTTCATTGTGTTAGGATCCGTTTACAAGGTATAGGACTTGAGTACCACATTGAAATTATTGGGTCCTAGTGTGGGGTTTTTGAGCACTCCAACTACAATGACTAGTTTTTGTGGTGTGGTTCTCTCAAGGTTCTTATCACATTTTTTACAAGATAAAAAGAAGAAAAGTTATTAGAGAAAGGAAGAGGTAGAAATGAAAAAGGTTGTAGGATAAAATATCCTCAACAAAGAAAATTAAAAATAGAGAAAGAAACAGACAAAATTGAAGCTCCCAAAAACTAGTCAATGTAGGAGAGGTGCGCAGTTTCCTTGCACGCAAATACTGATACACTTAAAGAAACCAAGTGCTGAACACCAAAAAGACCATGAAAATGATTTTATCTCATAACAAATGTAGAGGTGAGAAAACAAACACCCATGAAAATGTGGGATTCCTGTCCAACCACACAATCCCAAAACAGTGCATTGACACACCATTTTGTTTTCTTTCTTACCAAAACCCTTCAAAGTGAATGCATAGAAACTGATCCAATGAAGAATGAACTAGATCACACACGTACCTCACCAAAATTACCAAAAAGTTTATTCCAAAACTATCACACCTGTCAGTAATGGAGTAATAAACGAGGCAGAGTTTCAAACTTAGATCTAGCCTCTGTTTTGGTGTTGGAAAATTAATTCCTGCACTCTAATGAAAACACGTGTGTTACCAATATAAATCTACGGTTGAGATTAATTACCCTCACTGGTTTAAAATTAATTCTAGTCAACTTTATGACAAATGGGCCCTCACCTGAACACATTTCAGGGGAATGGCTATGTGAGGATGTCTAACTTGCAACAAGTCATTAGTATTAATCCTATTATGTAAAACAGTTCAAACTAAAGCTTTGTTCTTATAAGGAGATTTAGAATTCCAATTGGTTTATCCAAGGCTAATCTCTCCCTTGTAGGAGAATGTATGGAAACTGAAAGTATGATTTGCAAGAAAACAAAAACTAGTAGCGTTAAGGTTCCAGATTCCCATTGTCATTGATAGCAGATGGCAGAATATGGAGGAAGTCCAAAATTCTGGCATACAAACACACCATTGTTGCCTATAGTGCTTCCATAGCAAGGGCCTTGCTTCACAAATTGCCTATGGCGGTTGGCAAAACATCCACTATGCCATTTTGCCTCAGTGGATTCTCATAACTGAATTTATAATTGCTAAATTATATTAGCATGACATAAATCCCTCTACGTTGGACTGATTTTTGCATTATTGATAGTGCAACATCTTTTTTAAATGTGAAGTAAGGATTTTTGTGTGGGGAGAGTTCAATTAAGTAAATTTTTGAATTATATCCATTAGTTTTAGAATAATTTTAATTATTAGGCAACAAACTTGTATCCTTCATGCAACCTCATAACACAATTCATCATTTTTTTGCTATAGTTAGGATTCTCAAATATTATGGGTCAAACACTGACAAAATGGTTGCATGTTGCAGGATTGCACTTATAGTCGTCCTACTTGTGATAGTTTATATTGTGTTGGCTTTTGTTTGCCATGGGCCTGCGCTGCCATCTTGTCTTAAGTGAAGGATTGTCAAGTGAATTTTATGTGTGCTTCCTTGTCATCATCAGCTTGCAGAGAGGTCACTTCTTTTGTATCTGCCTTTGTTATGCAGACTCCCATTTCTTCAACTTAAATTTCCGGGTTGTCCACTTTCATGCTAGTGAATTTCTTGCAATAGATTCAAGTGTTTTGGGTTGTATTTTTCACTGAGGCTTGAGAGGCAAAGCATTATGTATGATATATATTGTTTCTCATACCAGCTTGAGGGTGTCATGGATGTTCTCTTGTCTTGTTCAATAGGTGGAAGAGTAAACCTTAAATTTCATGTGTTCCTTCATTGCTCAGTTAAGGGGTATTTTTAAACTGTTTGGGCCTGTTCTCGTCAAATTGATGCATGTGAACCACATAAGCATAATGTATATTATATTTATCTTTTTGTGTAACTTTTTTTTTGTGTGTGTGAACTGCGACGTGTGAAGACTCGTGACTTAATTTTCTTTTTGGTTGGGTGATTCTGAAATGGTCCAAACTCCAAAGTGATTGTAATAGTTTAAGAGACCTATATCATTATTATCAGCAGAAACGTTTCTGATATTCTGATCTATTGTTTGGTAATTTATGTCGTTTTTGTCTTCTTAGTGCAAGTTAGTTTAACTTGATTTTGAGGAAATAACTCATTTTAGAAATTATTTCACAATATTGCATAAAAAATAAAAATAAGTTGAACCAAACATGAACATTCAAACATGTGCCTACTCAACTTGTCATATCCTTGTAATGCTCTTTTAATAAAAATGGTGTTTGGGATGGTCATCGACTGGATCAAATCATACAGTGCAGTGCTTCAGTATACTAATAATAAAAGAAGTAGAAAAGGGAAAGAAAATGACTTTTTCTTTATCAGTAGATAAATTCTAATTCAAACTTATGAGAACGGTTACTTCAAAAAGTTATTTTCATGGATCACATTGGGGCGTCTGTTTTAAAGGGCATGGGGCAATGGTCATCTGAATATATGGAGATGTTGGATGTATCCAGAGCATTACAGGTAATATTTAGATAAATGTGGCTGCTAGTGCTAGCCCATTTATTTTTTCTTAGCATCTAATCCCATAGAACTAGTAATTCAGCATTTAATCTGAAAAAGTATTGTGATCGTTAATCGTGGAAAAGTTTTTCAATCTTTCCTCGATTTGTCAATCACTGTAGCTTCTTGTTATTTATGTTCGATTTCTTGCAACTGCAGTCAATAAAACTACTTTTTTTTAATTATTTTCAAGTAGATAATTAAACTTGCAGTATGTTTCGAATCACATTTTTCAGCCACGTTAATAGTGTAAATATAAATAGGATTAATGTTTTTCCCTTCCCAACGAGTGACCCACGTACTGTTTGTAACCCTGACTTAATTAAGGTCATTCTTGTTCTTTCTACACAATAAATTCCCTGTATTTTGTGAAATGTAGTCGTTCTGTTTGATTTGCTTCCAATATATTTGTGACTGGTCTTCACATGTTACGAGGGGGAGACTGTATTGTGCATTATTTCCAACAAAAGAAAGGTGAAAAAATAGTCATTAGGAGGAAAAAATGCAATTGACCCTGCTTAGTTCCAATCTTTAACTGATAATAGTGCTGGAAAATTGACTGCCGGATTACATTGCCTTGCATGATACTGTTATGCAATCACTTGCTTTAGTTGTTGAACTTGCATTATTGAATAAAAGAATCTTGCTGCTGGATTAAATTAATTCTTTAATACTATCAAAAATCCAAAAGCTGTCCTATCAATTGATTACTTTAGTTTTCAAATTTATCACACAATTGAATGAAAGAATCTTGCAATACGTTGAAATACTTTGAACTAAAACTTTTTATAAATATTCGAATGATTAACCATTTTAAATATGTTTTTAGTTTATGTAAAATAAACGAGTTTTGATTCATAAATATTGTTTAAGATCCTTGTTAAATGAGCACATTTTGTTTTTGGTCATTGCATGGTATTTTTCTTTAATCTTAGTTTTAAAATTCAAATTCATTATTTTTTGTTCTTAAGGATTTATAAAAATATTTTGGGGTGTCAAAGGTTGACATAGTCACTTAGTAACACTTGAGATTAGTACCTAACCCTTCCTTGGGCTAATCTCGATATGATGGAGTTGTTGAAACTTGAAACTCAATTTGGATATATGTTCACTGTGCTGGTTTTGTGGTGATTGTAATTGTAGCTTCGACTTTGGTCGGGTCTCTGAATTTGGAGTGAGGTGGAAAAGTTACTATGGGGTTTTATTGGAGAAAAATGCATATACATGGTGCAAGTGAAGTGAGATGGTTTTTGGGTTGGATTCTAAAAGAGCTTCAAATTTGGGCCATGAAAGATGAAATGACAAGAGTAAGATTACGTGAAATTTTAATTAACATAAGTTTTAACTGATGAGACATAAAGTAATACAAAACACGAAAAAAATAGGTGACTAAAGTCCTTTCATTTAATGCTCATTTACTGTTACATTGTTTTTATTGATACTTTTATTTATTAAATGAAAAAATAAGTAAAATAATTGAATAATATAAAAAGGAAATATAATTTTCTAATTGAGAGTAAATTTTCAGGTTGGGAATCACTAAATATATATTTTAAAAAAACCTACATTTAGTGGTATAATTATTAAAGGGAAATATAATTTTCTAATTGGGAGTAAATTTTCAAGTTGGGAACCACTAAAGTCAATTTAGTGATGAATGATTTAAATAGTATGCACAAGGTTATAAGTTCAAATTTTATTATTTATGTAATATCTTTCCTACTAATAGAAAAAACTTAAGTTGAATTTTTCAAAGTTACATGAATTGTCTTAAAAATCATTATATTAATTGTTTGTCATGAAATTAAGCCTTTAAAAATTTAATCGTTCAATAAATTAGTTTCTTAAAAAATATAAGATATATTTTTTTTAATAACTTAGGAAAGAAGAGAGAGAAAAACGTACATTTGAATGAATTTCCAATGAGTTGACCCACATCATCTGATTGTTGAGATTCTCTTATAAATTATGCTAATGATACAAAAGATTCACACTGTGTCATGTATATTGGGTCCTTTTCTCTTTTTTCTCATTGATATCCCCCACCATTAATAATGGTGAACAATGTCCATGTACCTACCCTTTTTGTACTACCATCAACACCACTACCATCATCACCATTAACACCTACTCCTAGTATTCCTATTAAGTTAGATGTCTTTCTCAATAAACCAAACAGGCAAGTGCAACCACAACCTACTATAATTGTACCTACTAAAAGGCCTAGGGGGAGGCCTCTTGGCTCAAAGAATAAGCCCAAACCAATCATGGACATTTTCAAACTCACAATCTTGTTTGTTCCTGCGAGCATAAACATTGTTGATGACATCATTGACTTTAGTCGGAAGCTAGATGTGAGCATCGTGGTACACCATGCTTCAGGTACTATTTCCAAAATTAACATTTTAAAACTTTTATCCCCTTCCAATTGTTTGTCCTTTCAAGAAAACTTGCATATGTTGTCTCTCTCAGGCTTTTACACCAAAAACCTTTCACCTTCCCCCTTGAGAACATTCATTTTTCCTTCTTCAACATTCAAATCTTAAAAGATGGGGTCCACCAACTCTTTGGTGACCCTATTATACCTCTTACTTCTATGGAACCTATGCATATCATTGCTTTTATTATCAAGAAGCATGAGTATCACAAGGTGGTGAATCCCATCACAAATTCAAATGATCAACCTATGATGAGGAGTACTTGTGTTACATGTTATGTTCCTAATGCTCCTAATTGCATCACCAACAACATTGCTAGCAACCCTGGTTTCTTTGTTGGACCTTCAAACTCTTCTTCAATCAATATCCAACATTTTCCTGCTCTTTGTGGAGATGTGAACATGCTCTATTGGAATAACTCCACCAATCAACATGATAACTACTAGGAGGGATCATAAAGCTTCATTTAGAACTTTGTGTCTTCAATAATATAATAATGAGTGTATTGTTAATGTTCTTTTACCTATGTATGTGTGTGCTTGTAGGAAAACATATTTTCTAGGAGATTTGATCTTGAAGTTTTTGCTTCTTCTTTTTGCTTAAAGATTTTAGAGATTTTAACAAAAAAAAAGGCTATGGTGACCATGGTGAGTCTCTCTTAATTGAAGTTAGTGGTAGGTAAAAAAAAATTAAACTAAACTAGTGGTGAACTAAATTAAATTGCATTATAAAAATTGATGTGTTGTAAAACAAAAAAAAGGTTGAACTTAATTATTTAAAAAAAATGAACTAAATTGAATTGTTTGAAAACTAAACTGAATTGAACTATTTTTATTTTTATAAAAAGTGTAAAATATAAAGGTGTTAAAATGGTTTGTCTTAATGGATTGATAGAGCGAGTTTCAAAAAAAATAATCCAAAAAAATTGTGTCAATTTGTCCAGACCCGGTGGGCCAACTGATTGTGTTGGGTCATTAATTTTTAAGTTTGAAATCTATCAATTATAATTGACTTGATTTTTTTTAATGTATTTTCCATTGTAAAGTTTGAATAAAATAAACTTAATATGTTAAAAAAATTTAATTCAAAGTACCAAAAATGTTTAGTTTAGTTTGAACTGTCATTTATTTCAAACTCTTAAAGTGCAATTTAATTCAATTGAATGAAACTAAAAAAAATAATTCAGTTAAGCTCATCTAAATCATTGTACATTTCAATTTAATTTAGGTAAGCTTTTTTTTTTTTGAAGTTTAGGATAACTATTATAAGTTCAATTTAGCTAGGTTGATTTTGTTCACCCCAAAATGAAGGTTATCTCGAACTAATTTATTTTGCATTAGATTGTGTATAGATTCCGATGTCAATGTATTTATTAGAGTGAATTTGATATGCATTAAGGTACAAGATAAAAGATAACATTATAGAATAAACACTTAAATTATTGAACAACTTTTATTCTATGTATAGTTTTGTTGAACAATAGAAAACACAAATATAAAAAAATGGTAAATTTATTACAAAATTATTTTTAACATTAATTATCATCATTGGTAGAACTTGACAACTTATTTTGTGGGGACCAAAGCAATAAGAAATATTTATATACTAAAAAATCAAAGTTAAATATAATTACATTTATTTATCGTATCTATGATACAAACATTTTATACTCATTTCTTTCCTTTAATTAATATATCCTTCGTTCTTTCTCATTTCTATATTCTCTCTGTAAAAAAATGGTAGAAAGACTTCTCAAGTAAGTTATGTTTTGGTTTCTCAAGAAAATTTTCATATTTTCTTTATAAATCACATGTCATTAAATATAAATATACAATGAGAGAGAAAATCAAAATTATGATAACGTACATACAAAAACTATTTGTTACTTTTGTTAATATGTGGTTTCTTGAAATTACCACAACTTATTTCAATTCATCTCTACCATCAAATGAAATGTGAATAATCCACCCCTTGTTGAGTCATGCATATAAATGAAATGAAGTATCCCAATCACATTAGTAACTATAATAACAATAACAAATATTTTTATACTTAAATCAAAAAATCAT